ATATGACAAGTTATTGATGCTTTTCTGCCTTCAAATAAACCTGCTATCGCCGCTCCGGCGACTCCAAGCCCTGCTAATACGAGTGTAGTCTAAGGAATAGTGAATACAACAACAGATTGGTAAAAGGCCCGCAAAGATCACCATGAAACAGCGAAGAATAATAACCTACCATTTTCTCGATGTGGCCCGGGTGACTGCCATGACGCAAGAAATTACCCATAGGGCATCACGTCAGTACCAAGGTACGGTAAAAAGAATATCCGGGATGTTTGTGCTTTACACGAGTCATTCCGGTATCCATCATGGCGGATCTTTTGGGCAGTGACGACTTTCAGGAAGATCCAGCAGCCGAATTTTTGGCCAGAGAACAAGATGATCTCGCCGAGCTTGGAGAAGATTTCGGTGAAGAACAGCCAGAAGCTAATGTAAGCTCCTCGGAATCTTAGTTTTAGCCGTATTTAGTGCCATTTCTACTGTCGGTTTGTGATATTGTAGAGAACATGATCTTTAGTTTTGTCATGTTTAAGTCGGAAGGCGTCAACGGAGGTTTGGACCTTCGGTTACTTACTGTTGAGTAAGGAATCATCTTTATCGGGAGCCGTTTTAATTTTTTCCATTTGCTTTGTTTTTCTTTTTGGCTCAAAACTTTAATCTAATCTAACTTTGCTGTCCGGTTTGGACATGTACATTTGACACGAAAGAGCTGCTTTCAAATTCGAAGGATGGATCATTTGATCTTTCCTTCACACTAACACAAGTTTGAAAGGCCTAGAATCCAAAAAACGGGGGGTGAGGCGGTCGGAAAATTTTCAAAATTTAATTCGCCTAATTTGTCATTTCATGTGAAACTTATAACGTGAAAATTCCGGTTGATGTAGTTAAGTTTGGCGTTTTATAAGCGCGGGGAATGTCTTTGGTTTGATGAAAACTCGTTAGTGGTTTTGTTTTAGAAAGAAAAGTAATGAACAAGAAATAAATAAATAAATAACATGTTAGGGTGCAGGGGTGCCACGACCATGGCAAACCCATGAGTGCCTTCAAGAGAATTGATCAGGGTGACATTATATCGATCTTCTTTGTCCAGGTAATACTGGAGGTTTAAAAGGATTACACGACTAGTAAACATGAATTGTCTGCAAGAGATTTGTTTTAACATGAAACCACAAAATTACAAATACTTGGTTTTCTTTTACAGGCAATGAATGGACTTCATGATGGATTAGGAGGAATGGATCATCAGCCGGTTGTTAATGGATTTGCTGATGAAGAAGTAATTTTAAAGAATGCTTCTAGTGGTCATTTTGAATTAATTTCTTTACAATATGTAATTTTTCAAGCTTTTCTGTAAACCAATAGTCTGCTGGTCCCACTCTTAATTACTTCAATTGTAAAGGGCTCCTTGGTATCTGTGAACTTAAGTGGTAATAGAGCAAAGGGGTAAGTTTCTAAAGAAACTGTGGTGCTGCATTGGTGGGAGAGTATAGCAGGTAATTTAGTGTTAACAACTGGGTTGAAAACATAAATTAGCCATCATAAAGGGTAAAAAAGCTGATGTTTCGAGCGTTAGCCCTTCGTAAGAGTGATTGACGAAGGGCTAATTGATGAAGAAGTTTTGAACTGAGATTCTGAACTGGGAATAGCTGATTCACTGATTACAGAAAATAATACAGGTAGTCGAGCACTGGAAAAAGTGTTCTGAACCTGGCTATCAGTTATTCAAGTTATTCCACTGTGTTGACTGGTTGACTATGTTGGTAACTCTTGATTCTTATCTGCAGATTTCAGGGGATCACCAGCCTGCTGTACCCCTTGCAAGAGATTCTGAACCAGAGTCTGTAAGGTATGGCTTGGACTTCAGATGCTCAGTTGTTTAATATTTACCAACAAAAGCTGACATCAATAACAATATTGCAAGATTTGGAATTTGGCACTTTTTCAGGAGCACCTTAAATAGCTGATTGTCCAACAGTGACATTTCAAGCTTAGCACATGCTAAATCGGTGCAAGAGTAACCTTCAAGTGATAACTGCCGCACCCTCTCTTCCCCTGAGAGGTGTGGTTTTAATTCTTGTGAACAGGAAAATCTGCACATGCACCACATCTACTGGTCTTGGTAGGGAATGTATGTCTTCTGATAAAGGCCTTGACCGTTGTCCAACAATAGTTTTTAGCTTTATTAATGAGAGAATCCTTTGAAAGAAATTATTGTGTTTTTATATTTTCAGTGACTGTGATGGTCTTAAATGCACTCTGTAACTAAGATATTCTTGATTGTTTCTTTAATGTATCAATGTACATTGTTACAGAAAATGGAGGGAAGAAAAAGCAGCGCTTCTTGAGAAAATGGATACAGAAGAAAAAGCAGAAATACAAGAATGGCGTGAAAAAGCTAAGAAGGAACTGAACGACTGGTATGAGAGACGAGATGAACAGTTAGGAAAAACACAAACAAGCAACAGGTATTATTGTCTTAGACAGCTAAAGTCAACAAACACTTCTTTGGTTCTATTGTCAGATCTCTCTCAACTGCTATGTTTCTTGATAAATCTTGGAGCTAATTTGTATTTCTTAATTTCACTCTTTTTATCAAGAAACGTAGGTTTTTTAATTTGTGGAAGAATTGTTATTTTATTTTTATTTGTTATTTTATTATACCAAATAACATCACATTCCACCAATTAGACTGTTCCAGTAATTTCACTGACAGTTAAACACATATTACAGTCATTAAAAAAAATGTGTGTACCTCTAAAGCTTTATATCCATTTGAAAGGGTGTTTATTTTTCATAATGCTGTGGAAGGTATACTGAGAAAGTAACCGAAAGTTTTTTTTATCTCTGTGTTTTGTTTGGTAAGGTCGAGAAGAAGATAGATTACAGATTTCTTGACAAACTTTAGTTTAGTTATGCTCAAAGTCTTGGGGAAATTTTCGTTTACAGGGCCGATGAAGAAGCCTTTGTAGCAGACCGAGATGACAGCTCAACCCCTGGTCATGACTGGGAACGAGTGTGCCGCAACTGCGACTTTAATCCGAAGGGAACAAAAAATACTAAGGATGTATCGCGTATGCGATCAATTTTCTTGCAATTGAAGCAAACACCTCTCGTAAAGGATTAGCACTGCAGTTTCTTAGTTAACTTGTAATTGAGTAACACTTGTAACAATTATCGTTAGTCTCGCTTCAAAGCCATATCATCAAAAGTAGCATATATAAGCCCAACTCCAGCTTCTAGTTTTTTGTTCCTTTTCAATCCAGTCGTTAGGTATGATGATTGTTGACGTTTAACCGTGACATCAGCCTTAATAAGTAATGTATGTGTTGATTGGTAGAATTCCAATTACTTTGGAATGGGTCGTTCAACAAATTTTGTCCTTGGGTTGAGGTGCAAGGCTGTTGCAATGTTCAAAATGTTAGGGATCATAGTTTTAAAAAATCTTATCATCTCAGAGATTTGAATATGGAAGTGGCAATCTGGTTTCAGCAGTGAGCAGCTCGAAGCGTTCTTTAATTGTTTAGAAGAACTAAATGTAGGAACACAATGGCTGGAAGGAGATGGAACAAACTACTTGTTCCGAGCGTTTTAACTGAGTTAACGAAATAACAAAATGTAGTACGAGGAATCGAAAAACTGTCATGTTTTGAGGGCACAGTCATTTACAACATCAGGTAGAAATCTCTTGGTAACCATTCTTTTTCGTGCAGTACCTCACCAATCTGACTAATTTTGAGGAACGTAGTTTAATTGAATAGGAGAGATTGCGCGGATTTTTTTAATTCTTTCTTCTGTAAGAACGGCATTCTATTTAGTATACTAAAATCCTTACTCACTCTGAAGGATCAACTGTAACCTGCTTCATTAAACAATTACAACTAATGCAGTCTTGTAAATATTGTCAATTTGTGATTGTTCGCTGGTTGCAACGCGCTGAGAAACTTACGGTTCTAGACCGCGAGCAGTCGTTCCTTTCCGGCGAAGTCCATTGCGCTAGTTAAAAAAAAATGAGTGAAGAAAACAAACTGATGTTAACACGCCGCGTAGAACTCTGGGAAAGAAGAGCACACGTTTCTGTATGCCTTGCTCTCAGAGTTCCGCCGGCGCGCTAAAATGTAAGGTGAACAGGTCCGTTTGGTGCTTTTAGCGTTAGGGGTTAATTCCTGGGAGTCTATAAATCAAGCACGAGATTAAAGATCTTGCCATTTAAGTTGAATTATTTGTTGCGATACACAGAACTCTCACAGTTTAGGTACCCTACCTAAAATGGTGAAAGGGTGGCAGTTTAAGAACGAAGCTGAGGCGTTGAACGCAGCTCACGATCTGTGGGACGTACAGTGATGCACGGGAGGTCGGGACTTGAACACAATGAACGCTTCTTTTCTGACATCAACCCACCAGGTCACTGTCAATATTGTTAATAACATTTAAAAAGGATTTTTTTTATTTTCACTTCGCAATACTCTAGAAATTTTGATAAGAAAATAAACCGTAAATTATTATCAAAGCCATCATCCATGATTCGGCCTTTTCGAAAAATTTCTATTTTTTCTAATTTTCTTTATTTATTTATCAGTGGCTTATTTTACGAGAGCCAGTATTCATTTTCCGCACTCTTTCCATGTAAGCTTTGAAGCAGTATTCCAGGAACTCAAAAGCCGTCTCACACCACGCCCTAACAGCCATCACAAACCAACTGTACCACTGAGTAGCTTGAACATCAATCGACGTTCCCAAACCAGTCGGTGTTAAGCTCGGGAAAGCTCGTAAGAGGTCTTCCTGTCAAAACAAGCGAATAGATAACTCAGTAAACGAACCAGAGGGCTCATTCTTGCCAAAGCCTGTCTGATTCTGTGTAGCCTGTTCCAGGCGTTCAGCTAATGAAAGTAAAAGGCGCCGTAAAAGTAAAAGCAACAGAGCAAAAAAGAGGGATACCTGGTCCACCCAATCTCGTACCCCCCTCGTTTTTTTCACTCCTCCGCTTCAATTGCACCTGTTAATATATCGCTTCGTTTTACTGACTCAACGCCCGGGACTGGCTAATTTCTATGACACTAGGCGACTAGACCGCGTATTCCTTCTTTTCCGGTTCTTCCATTGTAAGTATAACCTCCCTCCCCAAATCCTGTCAGTTTTTGCGGCAGGCTGTAAATACAGCAAATCGTTAAAACAGCTGGCTAATTGGAAAGAAGGTCTGTGAGCACAACAAATTACCTCGATCAGCAGGGCTCAAATCCAAGGGGGCGTTTCTATTAGTAGTTGCCGGTTCTAAAAAGCTGGGCTTTGTTTGCATTGTTTACATTACAGATCGAAATACCCTAAAGAGTTTTGAATTCAAACAGATAGATACTTAATGACATTTTTGTACTAGAATTTGGACATAAATTGCTACTAGCCACTCTTGAATTTTTACTATGATGTTAATGACTTATCAGCCAAAGAGAATTAAAGATTGAGATCGATGCCAAGGTCTAAGTCTTTTACGTGTCTCCTGCGAAGCCAAACTGCTTGGATCCTTTGCCTTGCACAACTCTTAAATATTTGTTGGGGCAGTCACGATACATTGGGTATCTAGTTTGACCAAGAAATTACCAACTGCAGTTTCTATTCTCTTGGTGTGACTTATGGAGACTGACTTAACAGGTTATTTTTTGAAAGCCCCTGCATCAATTTTTTTTGATGACGTCAAAGAAGTAACAAGTTGGCGGAAGATTAACCTTTGGAAAAATGTAAATGCGGAAATCAGAGTGGCTCAAACAAAAAGACTCCTGGACATATTTTCAGCCTCTTTAAGCGTATTTTATGAATGAATACAAAACAGATCAATGATATTGTCACGGTTGAAAAGAGAACAATTTGTTTCATCTTCAGTCGAGTCGTGGACACTTTCACGGAACTTCAATAACTTTGCGCATACAATAGTTCTCTGTATTCGGCATCAGCACTGAGGTCAAGAGTTTAAGACCTGAATGTTTATCTAGCCTTCCATATCATAGATCTTAGAGACCACCATCAATTTAAATAGAAAGTTCGTGTAAACAAAAGAGTTTTCACCAGAAGCTTAATCATGCGCGCTTAATTCTTTAAATAATACTTTGATATGTAAAGAAGCACTTACACACAATACAAATTGTGTAATTATATTTTTAGTAATCATTACCATCGCATGGCTAGAAAGCCAATACAATTTTGAAAACGAACAAGATTGTATGAGGTTGCCAGCTTGGTTGCTCGTATTGTTTATTTAAAGGAAACAACTGTGGTAAAACACATCGACGTAGCGTTTTAGAAGACATCAAACTTCATTATTCTTGCTAAATGATCATTTTGCGAACATGAAATATCTTAATCTTACCCATCCACCTTTACTTTTGATCCAATCCACCATGTAGAGAGCTGCAAATTCGTACATCCAGTTTCCGATTTCCAGCACGTAAGAATTGCGACCCTCTTTGCAACATTCAGCAACGAGCGCACCAGCGAACGCATACAGAGCAACAATTCTCGCCCAGTTTAATCCATCGCTCAAGATTTCCGACGAAACATTATTAAATACATCATGAACGGTGTTTTCGCTGTTAAAAGGGACATTAATACGGCCAGAAATATCTCTGTATAAACGGGGATAGCTCTGTTCAAGGAGTCTACCAACTTCCCGCACACGGATTGATACTTGAGAAACCATCTCACCGCTCTCTTGACGCGGTGCTGAATTGGAGAAAGTGAAAGACCAGCTTCGATTTTTTAAGCCTTCGCGCTCAAGTTTAGCTTCAATATAATCATTACATATTTGCTTTGCTTGTTCGAGAATGTCAGCAGACGTTTTGTTTCCTTGTAGCTGCACGATTCGTCTTGTTAACTGAATTCTCGGGCTGTCAGGAGACAAGTCCTGCCAGCTTAACCTCTTTACTGCTTTAGGCCGCTGCAACGTCGCCATTGCTTTGAGTATTAAGTGAAAATCTCACTGATTTTTACGGTTGCGTACCTTTCCCAACGTTTCCAAAGCTTCGTTCACCAACTGCACCAGAAACACAAATTTCTAAGCGTAACTAAGTATTTACTCAATGACGCGCATTAAATTTCTTAATGGCTTGAACAATGTTTTGAGTACTAAGACAAATAATCACAAATGATTGGTCGGTTACTTTTGATATGAAGCAGATCGAAACTGAAAATGATGATCCTGGTTGGTGATTAAAATATTTTTGTTACCAGACACAAGGTTAATCCTGGCGAAGTAGAATGGGCATTGATAATTGGAAAATTTTCAATTACTTGAAAAATTTTTTAACCACCCGCAAGTCAAAGTCGCTTCAGTTCAGCAACAGAAAAACATACGAGAATGAAAATGAGGAAATAATTGGATTTAAAAAAAGTGGAGAAGAAATTATTTCTCTCTGTTAATAGTAGTGGTCTTTCTCGCAGTCGTTTCTTGTTTCCTTGTTTCCGTTTCTTGTTTTTCTTGTTTCCTTGTCGTCACGCCATTCTGTGTTGCGTGACGACAATGAACAACAAAGACGACTGAGTTACGACTCGACACCCGGAAATCCTCAGTCATCACCAGTTATGTTGTTGTAGCCAATTATAGACTAGGAACAGTCCTTCTATTCGGTGATGACCGTCGCACGAGTAACAAAAGTCAACGCAGAAAAATTTAAGGTTGGCGAGCCAAGCGGAACTCGGGCGCGCTATCATCATCTTTTCCGTTTTCGCTAATTTTTTTTTTTTGATACGCGCGGCCAACCTCTCCGAAAAGGAGAGATTGCTCGTAGTCTAAGCCAAATAATTTCCAACTTGTTTCATTTATTTTTTCATAAATTTGAATTTTGTCACCCTCGTGTATCCTTTGGATCGATTTCATCCGTTCTCTCATGCCTAGTTTTTGTTTCTCTGCGAAAAGGCTGATTATCGAGCCTGATGCTTCTTCGCTGAGCTTCGGTAACCGTAAACTATCAGTTGACTCATTTTTCCGCGCTGTAGTGAGAGCGCCAAAGGACTTGCACGAGTGAAGATTCCTCTGAGACCACGCCTCATTAGGTTACCACTGTTATTCAGCATGTTTACATTTTACCTGATTTGGTGAAACTCGGTTATTAATTTTGCTGTCACAAAATTAAAAAACTCGTTTAAAAGGGCAATTTTATCTTTATTACAATCAGTGCACTGTTTTTCTCTTTAAGAAAGCTGTACATCGGCAGTGACGTCTTGTTCTTAACGAGCAGATTATATATCACTTTCCCATGGAGGTTAAAAAAATTGGTTTCACTTCATTGCTATCCGACAAAAATACATTTCACTATTTTCTCATGGTAAATTACACTAGCATACAAAAATAGAAAAAAATTCGGTCTTGAAAATTCAAATCTAGACGGGTAGGGAGCGTGTAGTTACAATTTTCGAGACAATCCATCGGTAACAAGCGAAAAACCGCACTAAGGTTAGTCATTGGCCTTTTTATGCCTCTTCATCGAGAGATCCAGGGCCTGGAGCAGGATGACAACGGCTATGGTTTATAGACGAAAAATGAAACAGTCATTTAGGAGACTGAATATTTGTAAAAAAAAAAAAAATTGAAAAGAATGATTTCAACGCCTCAATCTTCATCATAAAGTAAAAATGAGAGCAATATCTCACAAAGAAAAATGAATCCTAGGAATTTTTTTCCACTACACGTATTTCCAAAAAGGTATTGGCAACAAATGAGTTTCAAAAGAATGCACAAAGGAAACTTTTTACTCAAAATTCTACCTATGCATATGGAAAATGTTCACAGAATTACGAAATAAATTTCATGACAGCTCATAAGGCCAGAACTGAGTTTTAGACTGTCTTATGCATTGAGTTACCTTTTATAAATTACTTTTTTTTAATTGTTATAAATAACATAGCACAAGAAGAATTGCAACTTATCTTAAGCTACATATTTACCTTGTTTGTTAAAAATTATTTTGTAGTGGCTTGGTCATCCAAAAAATGTTTTAACAGAGCATTAAAATATACTACAACCATTTTTTTTCCCTACCAGTGGCTTACAATTGCCACAAATGTTTCAATTACAACAGCATTGCTAGTACATAAATAAAACCTTGACCACAAGGAACGATATCAGTCCACATACCAACTCATATTTTAGATAATTCAAGAAAAAAGAATTAGACAAGAGAGGTTGTCTGAGAAAACAGCAACACACTCACTGGTTAGACAACAAAAAAGTTGTGAAACTCCTGCAACCTTGGACTAAATAAATAGAAAATTAAGACTAACTTTCATGCAGTCACACTGCTTGCCTATAGGCACAGGGGGCCATGAGCCGACTAATGTCAATGAAATCACATGCCAGACACTTTGGGGCTATTTTTTTAAAACTCTGACCTGGGGTATAAGGATTTTAATTGCATTTTTCTCTGTTTGAAGATGCAATTTTGAAACCAGTAGACCTCCTTCATAAATGGCTAGCATATTTGCAATCTTTTGTAACATCTATGTCAATTAGCCTTTCTTCCCCAGAGATCTCAATAAAAGCCAGTAACTGGTGAAATTCCATACCTATCTAAAACAAAATTGAGCCTATTTTCTCTGAAATCAACAGCATTAAAGCAAACATCCAACTTGCATTAGATGCCTATTTGAGTTTGTGCCATCTAATTTAAAGCTTATTGAAGCCCCAACTGCCCTCCATAGGCTGTTTGAAAAAAAATATTATTCAAAAAAAGTTGAAGATGTCTTATTCACGTGATTATCATGCCTGCCATCATGAAAGAAGTCTATTTGAGGAAAATCAAAGATCACCCCTTCTATTGCATCAAAAACATGGGAAAAAGAAATGTTTTAAATTTAATTGATTTTAGATGAGCTTTTGTTTTTATTTCATTTCAAACTGTCCAAGTTTCAGTGTCAAATTTAGAGATGCTTAGTACAAACAATGTTTCTTATATTGAACTTGCAATTACTTGTTACACACTCACAGGTACTCAAAAAGACCCACTAGTGGAAAAGCTATTGATAAGGAGTCCTGCCATCTCTGATGACCACAAAATATACACCAAAGATAGTGAGAAGTCAATGCTTCAAAAGTTCCATACTTGAACACACAAGGAAAACCAAAGTCAATATGATTTTCAAAATGAGAAAAATTTCTCACAGGCTTTGAAAAAGGACTACCAATTCTGTGACGATATGGAAGGGACTAGAGGAATTTCATAAAAAAGGAATGCAAAGAACATCACTGATTTTAAATACCTGTACAATGGTACATTGTTCAAGTGAACATGATGGGTCCAAGGTTAGAAATACAACCAAGTTTTCAGGGTTCAAATAAAATTCATGTAGGGAACCTCTTGAAGCATTGCCTTGCATTCTGATATCAAAAGTTTATTACAAAACTATGCATTTCATACGCGTGGCTCCATTTCCATTCCCTGTTGGCCTGGCCTCTGTTGAGGGTTTCGCTTCTTGCGACCTGGGAGTGTCTTGGCAGGTTTCTTTGCCTCTTTGTGAGGATTACTGCTTGGAGTGTAGCGCGCACACAAAAAGACAAAAAGTCCAATGAAGACACAAAAGGCGATTGTACCAAGCATGATGGCCCACCAATACTTCTTAACTGTTTCTTTGAGGCCTGTTGATGAAAAAAAAATTATTTTTAAACAATTTCTTTGAGGTTACGCAACTGTAACACATAACTTATTACCTTGGCCAGCCTCAAATTAGCACCTTACTACAAATGAACCCCTCCTCCCTTAATTTCCAAGATATTGAGGAAACTTCACCCCATTCTTCCCGGTTTCTGATACTCAAATGGCACACATTGATGCATAACCAAGAAATGGGATCATGATCATGTACAATAAGTTCACAATAAGACTACCAACATTTTTAAAAAGCCTTTCTTACAATTTCCAATATGACAATATTTATGTAAGTGCAGATATCCTTCCTGTTTGTAAAAATTAAGGACAAGCCAACACTAATATATATAGAGTGGCAAGTTACTGGAAGTTTCAGTTTTTCACAATATAACAGTCTATAGTCATTTTAAGCTGAATTTAATAAAAAGAGCACACAAATGGATAACTACACACTTCACAGACACCTCAACTTAAAGTGAGGTAAATCAATACAAGTAAAAAGCATCACATCATATAGTGCATCATATAGTTGCCTTGTCAAACATGATAAAGTTACCATCAGGCTTCCCCGGTGCACAAGCTTCAGTTTCTGGATCATGCTAAGGAAAAGAAAACATATGGTGCTATCATTTTCTCACCCTCCACAGTGAAGAACTTCTGCTTGAGACGTAGAAGAGGACCTTCCATGTCAACACGGCGGCATATGGCGAATACATCACAATATCCATTAAGGTTATCACAAGGTGTCCCTGGAACCAACTTCAATGACCGTAGTTCTGTCGCCATCTATGGTGAAAAAAGTCTCTTAGATTCTAAGAACTTATAAATCTTATATAGGAAGATAGGTAGGAAGCAAGCATTACAAACAATCCAAGATGTTAAAGGGAACTTGACCCCGTAAGTTGTATATCAAAGGTTGATCTCCTTATTTTCCATCTTTAATTTGCATGTTGTTTGCGTGAATGCGGTGGGGACATTCATGCTTGAGCCCACATGGCTAGTATAGAAGAGTAAAGCTCCAAGAATATAAAATCAGCTATATTTATGATTTAACAATCATCTGTAGTGAGTGACCAGGACAAAATTTCTCCTTCCAAAATCAATATAATATCAAGGAAATGAGTGATAAAGAACACAGAAAAATACGAATTAGGGGATTATTAAATAGTCCTGTACCAAATTATCCAAACTAGCATCATAGGATTGTATGGAAAATTTTACGGAGAAATAATGATGAGATCTTGAGAGTGAAAGGATCAATCAGTGTGGTATACATGTTCCATGGAGAATAACTGAGCACTTATGCCAGGATTAAACTGCCCAAGCTGAGGTTAGGCACTGCAGAGATTTGCACTTCTGCATATCTCTGCAAAAAATCCATGATGACCATTGATTTTCATACTAAAAAAGTAATTTGCTTTTATTTAGGT